TAATTACACGCTGACCGATTTTAAGCGTTAGATTTAAATAAGGAATGTACTTTAAGAAATTGAAGGTGTCAAAACGCGAGTTAAACCGTAAATTTAAACTGGCGAAAACAATACTAACTTAGGCTTAGCTGGAATAAGTGATGAATATATGTCTGACAATCCTCTCTGCACTGATTAAAGTATCGAAAAGGCCGCCAAAGAACTTGTTGCTTTGTCTCGTTTACAACCAAAGACTGACATAACACCACAGGGCATGAAATTGCGCCCAATACAAGCGCCGGTGTGACTAAATTTTTCACTTTGGCAACCAAGTCCTGGAAAGTAGTCGCCAAATTGGCGACTAGAATGCTTAATCATAACCATACCCAGAGATGTAGTGAATTAAAAAGATTTGCAAAGATAAATCCGCGGCAAACTTTCTCGTTAAGTTTGTTTCCAAAACGCAGCACACGCATCTCGATCGAAAACTAGTCGCTATCTTGGATTTAGGTGAGCTTGAACTTTATATATCATCCATCCTAGTGTCCACTTTGTAGAACTTTGTAGAACTTAATTTTGGAGGGTTTATTAAGAACTCTGACAGCGTAAAAAAAAGGTTTTTTTTGGTCTCTAAAAATGACGATCAGCTTTTTTTGAATTGACTACCACTTTGAAAAATTTAGGGGCCAAGTGGCTATCAGAAGAAAAAAAAAAAATTCACGCCCTGCATTAAAGCAGCTTTCTGTAGTCAACTCCGATCGCCAGCTCAAATATTTGTGTTACAATAACACTTATTGATAATGTAAACAAATACCGTATATTTTAAGGAGAGATAGAGGTTTTTTTGTAGCTGATTATGATGAGTTCCGCAAGTGAGTTCTTTATCGCGCGTATCGCATCACTGCTAACACAGCGCAAGACTTTGGAAATAAAACTTCAAGCATTCGCGAATTAAACAAAATCACCCGCGAATCAAAAGTAACGAGCTTTAAATTTCGATTCATCCCGAAGGCGCGAAAGATTCCACATCAGCAGAGAAACCATATCCTTGTAGTATTAATGCCGCCATAGTTACAAGTAACTCAAACATCTGCATGCCGGACAGCGTGTAGATTCTGGGGTTTCATGAATCAAACTTAAGTGCTCTAATAAACATACCTTTGGATCTCAGTATTAAGCTCGATGAAAAGAAGAAATATGGAAGAATTTTTCCCATAGAAATGTGCATATCTGGTTGAAACTCCGCTGCAAATCGAATTAATGTCGATTCGGCGAACAGTTGACGGTCGACCAACTGTTGACTTTGAAATGGTGAACTAGTTACTTGGTCAGGTCCAATAATGAACTAAGGTTAGCAATGACGTCAACAACAGAAAAGTCACACAACATCCTCTTTTAACTTAAGTTAAGCGACCATTTTACGGGATAAGAGGTAGGAAAGTGTTTTTCTCAGCAACGAATCTCACAAGTTTTAAACTATCTATGAATCTTTCTTTTATCTGTTTATT